CAAAGAAATTCAATTGGTCAAAATACAATGGAATAATCATGAAATAGAAGAGGCCACGTAGGAAGGGGAAGAGGAAGCCAAAAACAAGTATCCAATACTATTCGCCCAATCAGAAGATAAATTTCGAGGATGAAATTTTAATTAATGTGTGGGGGTTGTAGAACCCCAAATAATTTTAAACACCTTAGTGGCACTAAGACATGAATATTGGATGGCTAAAGTATACTTCAGATTTTTAGTCTCATTTGAGACCCATTTACGACATAGAAACCGTTTGATTTAGAAAATGATATATAAAAACACATTGTAGTACTTTGAGTTAGCTTTCCAACACACTTTGAATTACCTCAATAGGATATCAGGAGAAGAAGTTATGATAGAAATACTAAAAGCTGTATAGTATCAACCGAAGTACGCGGAATATGAAAAGTCAAATTCCTACACGATTTTCTGGCACCTTCTTAAACCTATAACTCCCACATAAATGGCACCCGTATTAATGAGTATTAGGCCCTTCACTTACCCTTAAGTTGTGAGATTTTCACTTATAAATAGGCCCCAATGCATGCACATTTTTACACCAAGACAAAAGCTTCTAAGCATAAAAGAGAGAATTTTCAAGTCTAGAAAAAAGAGAAAGGAGAGGGAGGAAAATTAGTTTTTCCTAGACATTTTGGTGCTATCAAGAAGTGTTTTCCAAACATCAATTCTCAAAGGAGTGTTTTTTTGAAACATCAAAGGAGTGCATTTTTGAACAAGGTTCAAAGCATCAATCAAGGTAGGTAGAGGTGCAAAGTGTTAATTAGTGTTAAGTTATGAGTTTCTAGCAAATGAAGATTTATGTTAATGTTTGTATGTCTAATGGTACCTCCGGTACGACATACACCTCCATGTCTAATGGTACCTCCGGGTATGGCATGTACTTCCGGTCGAGGCGTGGTGTTAAGTCATGACTCTACGTGTTTGGGATTCTATCGGAAATCCTACTATGAAAAGGTTTCTAAAGTTACAACTTTGAAATGTATAGCTTGATCATGAATGCACCAATGATATCTATTGAGTTTTTTTAACTCACGGGCTTAACACCATCTCTACAGATTGATATGATTCTACCTTGGGCCTGGATGATGGAAAAGATGGAGAGTGGTGCAACGAGCCCATGGAAAACCCGGTGAACAAGTTATTTAGATTTATTTTTGTAAACGTTTTCAATGTTATTTCTTTAAAGTATTTGAATAACGCTGAAGGCGAGAACAAGTTGTGTTTTCTTCAAATAAATTACGTTTCGTTATTTTTCTATTTAGTGTTTTATTTAAAGTATTCGAAAGGTTGTTGTTAAAATTATCATTGTAAAAATTAAGCTTTCGCTAAAACATATTCTCCTATGACTAAATGATAAGTGTATTTTTGCACACTTATTTAGATTACAAACGTGACTTAAATACAAACAAAATGATTGAATTGTGACTTAATCTCATTGAATTCATGCAATGTAGGTGTTTCTATGGAAATAGTGAAATTCAGGAGAAGAGAGCCGAAAAAGGACTAAAATGGAGCAAAGTGATAGTTTAGGGACTAAGGATGCAAATATTCGAAAGTTGAACTAAAAGACAACTCGGGAATAAAAATATACAAAGTATGAACTCAAAAGCAATACAAGATGATTGGAAGAAGAAGGAATTGCAAAGGGACTAAAATGAATTAAACTGAAAGTTCGGGGACCAAGTTGCAAATAATTCATAGATGAGACGGGAAATGGAATGAAGATTCAAGAGTGTTAGAAGTCAATCGGATGAGGAAAGGAGTCACGAGGTGAAATAGGGTCGAAGTATTATCAAGTATCAACTTTCAGGCGAAAAAGCTATGCTCGTGATTTTTAGTATCTATTTGAGATCCATTTTTTACATAGTAAACATCAGAATTTGAGGAAGCCTATTTCTATCAAAAGTGTATATCTTTGAGTTTTCTTCACAATGCACGTTGAATCACTTCAATCGGAGATCAGGAGAGAAAGTTATGATCAAAATACTAAAAGCTGTCCAGCGGAAAGAATGGTATTACTATGCGGTCGCATAGTATAAATTCTATGCGGTCGCATAGAAGCCTCCCGAGAACTTTTTCTCAAATTTTTTTACTCTATGCGACAGCATAGAAATGTACTATGCGATCGCATAGGTATAATCTGGGGGCCATTTTGCAGTTTCCTTATACGATTGAAACTTCTTTTGTAACCTAATTTCCACGCGATTTAAATACGAAAGAACGTCCAGAAGAAGGAGAGAACATAATTGGAGGCACAAAAACACAATTTTGGAGGATTTGGAGAGGAAGAACAAGGCAAAAACAAGGCAATCCACTTCAAGATTCAAGATTTCACTTCAAGAATCAATTGGGTGATGTTCTTCCTTGGTTTTAATTGTTGTTTTTCTTTATTTCCAATTATGTTAGGCTAGATTTACATGTGCTAGGAGATTGATGTACCATGTGATTTGAGTTTTATATTTCTAGTTTTGCAATTTGACATTAAAACATATTTCTTTTGTTTTGAATGATTTATATGCATTTATTGTTTCCGCAATTAAGGGCCCGTAATTGTGTGAGTTTGGGTGATTTATTCTTGTATTGGAGAGAATTGGAATAGATTCGACATAATATAAATCATCGTAGGGTCCGATAGGGGATAGAAATATACCGCTATGCCCTACGTGAATCTTTAAGTGTTCATAAAACTACATGCATTTTTACATATGCACTTGTCATAGAAATATAGGCCGGTGGTATGTAGAAATAGGTTTGATACATCTCGAGAGAGAGTATTGGATAGACTTAGGAACATTGATTCGTCAACAATTGAATTATGTTGTCATATTGTGAAACTAGAGTTTAAAGTGACAATTGCATGGGAAATCGTGATCCTAGTGTGTTTAATTTCTATTGATTACAACAAACGTGCGTTCTCAACAATTGATTTCATTTTAGAGTTTTAAATTATTGTTTTGCTTATTAATTTCATTACAATCATAAAAGCTGCATAAGTAGGGTTTTCTTTCCAATTTTAGAGTTTTAATTAGGTCCACATTCATTTTGAGTAATTTGGCTTCGGTTAAGGTCGAATAAGTAAAATTGAGCTAACCAATCTCTGTGGGGCGATACTCGGACTCATTGAATCCACTTTATCACTTGTTAACGAACCGTATACTTGCGGTAATTTAAATCGAAAGAAAATATTTCGCGAACAAGTTTTTGGCGCAGTTGTCGGGGATTGAGTTTAGTTTAATTTCATTTTTTAGGCACTAATTCGAACTTTAAATTTTTATTTTTATTTATTTATTTATTTTCGTTTAGGTTTTTTTATTTTATTTCTATTATAGTTCTTCAAATTGTTTGAATTTGAGTGCTACTATTGGTTTTCTCGCAGAGTTGCATGCCAAGATCGACTGAAGGAGAATTGTTCTCAACTGATCCTGAAATTGAGCGTACTTTTCATCGACTGCAAAGAGAGACTCGAGAAGCACAGTTGCAAATGGCTAATGAACTGGACAATCCTAATATCCCAGCCAATGAAGGAGAGACAATGAATGAAGGAAATGAGATTTTGGGCGACTTCTTGACTCCTCAAGTGATTCAAAGCCAGTCCAGCATTGTGTATCCACTGTTTGGGCAGCCAAATTTTCAGTTGAAGACAAGTGTGATACAGCTATTTCAAAATGGACATCAGTTCTATGGCAAAGCCGAGGAGAATCCACATACACACATATCTCGATTTTTAGATATGTGTCAACATTTCAAATATCAAGGAATCTCGGACGATGCTATTAGGCTAAGGCTTTTTCCACACACCTTGCGGGACAAGGCACTTGAATGGTTGGATTCACTTCCTAGTGCAAGCATCATTACTTGGAACGAGTTGGCTCATAAATTCTGCACGAAGTTCTTCTCACCAGCCAAGATAGCGAAACTAAGACATGAGATATCGATATTCGGTCAAGGGGAGTCTGAATCATTTGACGAATCCTGGAATAGATTCAAAAACATGCTCCGAAAGTGCCCTCAACATGGGTTCGACAAAAAAACCCAAATCCGATTCTTCTATATAGGGTTACTCCCGCACTTCAAAAGCATGGTAGACTCATCACCAGATGGTTCAATTTCCGCATGAACAATCGATGGAGCACTGGATTGTTTGAAAGAATGGCTACCACTTCAGCCATGTGGTCCTCTGAGAGGGTGATTCAGAAGAAGCCTTCGGGTCTCTATGAGGTAGATGCATATTCAGCCATATCTATGAAGATTGACTCATTGTTTCACAAGGTAGAAAGCATGTCACAAACAACACAAAATAAAAGATTAGCTGTGAAGAATGTGGAGCTGAGCATAAAACATTAGAGTGTCCAATTTTAATGCAAGGAGTTGAACAAACAGATTTTGTGCAATGGGGTCAACGCCAACAAATTAACCCACATTCGGAAACCTTCAATCAAGGCTGGAGAAAACACCCAAACTTCTCGTGGAGTAATCAGAATCAAAATAGACCACAAGGTCAATATCAGCAGCAGGACAAAAAACCACCATTGGAAGAGATGTTTGAGAAGTTCATGGTAACAACCAATCAGTATATGGAAGCCAACAACCAGTTTATGCGAAGGACAGAAGCAACTCTTCAAGACCAAAGTGCAGCGATCAAGAATTTGGAGACACAAATGGGACAGATGGCAATCTCTATGACGGGTAGAGCACTAGGAAATCTACCCAGCAATATTGAAATCAATCCCAAAGAGCAAGCTAAGGCTATTACAACTTGAAGTGGAGGGCAATTACCGGAAATCCATGTCAAGAGACCAGGTGTGACTGTAGAGACATCTTTCCCTGCTGAAGATGAGACTGCTGTAAAGGAATCAACTCCAGGGGAAAATTCAGAAAAATCATAGGATAAGGCCAAGGTTACAGTCAACCCATACGAGCCTCCAATTCCCTTTCCACAACGGTTGAAGAAGCATAAAATGGAGCAGCAGTACAAGAAATTTCTAGAAGTCTTCAAAAAGCTCCATATCAACATCCTACTAGTCGATGCACTATTACAAATGCCCAGCTATGCAAAATTTCTAAAAGACATATTATCAAATAAACGCAAGCTGGAGGATCATGAAACAGTAATGCTAACCGAAGAGTGCAGCGCAAGAATTCAGAAAAAGCTTCCACCAAAATTGAAAGATCCAGGGAGTTTCACTGTCCCGTGCACAATTGGTGATTTTTATTTTAATAAAGCATTGTGTGATCTTGGTGTGAGTATTAATCTTATGCCTTTATCTATTTTCAAGAAACTAGGATTGGGAGAGCCTAAAGCAACTATAGTAACTCTACAGTTGGCTGATCGATCACTTACACATCCACGAGGGATTATCGAAGATGTATTGGTCAAAGTGGATAAACTTATATTCCCAGCAGACTTCTTAATCCTGGACATGGAAGAAGACAAGGACGTGCCTATCATATTGGGACGACCATTTTTGGCTACTGCAAGAGCGCTCATAGACGTACAACAAGGATAATTGACATTGAGGCTGGGGGAGGAGAAAGTCTCTTTCAATGTTTTCAAGGCAATGAAATATCCCACCGAGCCAGACACCTGTTGCCAGATTGGGGTGATTGACATAGGAATCCCCTACAATTTTGAGTTGAAGAAATCACCAGACATTCAAGAGGTCGGTATGATGCACCCTCATTCCACTCTCACTGACTCAAAGGAGATCGAGATATGCATTGTGGAGTCTCAAACGGATGATGAGGAAAAATCACACCACTTGGAAAAGGACAGGGTTGAAGTGCGAAGGATAAATGCAATGCGGAACAAGACCATATTGAGCAAACTATCCAGGACCTCCCGAGCCATATTCAAAGTCCCGTAACACACCTGTCCACAAATCGAGCTATCGACTATAAAATAGCGCTGGTTGGGAGGCAACCCAACGTTTCTACCCTTTCATTTACTTCATTTTGCAATAGTTTAGGAATTTTTCTTTTTTTTGTATTACCAATAGTTTTAGGTCATTGATCATACATCCTATCACATGGAGTCGAGGCATGGTCCACACGAGTCCCAATGCATTGAGCACGAGTCATAAGGTTGAAGTCCTATTTTAGTTAGTCATGGGTCAAATTGAACAAAATGCATATCTAGAGCTAAGTTTCGTTGGTGATTCACAATTTTTGTGATATGAACCCTATGTTGAGATATAAATTATGCATTCTGCATACCAACAATATACACATGCACCTTGTAGCAAGTTTGAGGAATTTGTGCACTACGTAGATTATTCCTTGCCTTAGCTGCATTTGTTTACATCATGTGGATTAATATACATACTTTGTACTTTTGCAGATGCTGTCAAAAAAAAAAAATAGCACAGCTCCACCACCAAGAGATAATACAGCAAGACTCAGTTTTCCATCACCATCTCCATACAGATCAGGGAAGTATTGTTTACCCCTTTTGATATTTATCTTTTGAAATTGTCCTTAAAATTATGTCTTTAATCTTTCGTTAATCTTACATTGAGGACAATGTATTAACCAAGTTTGAGGGGTGACATAATTTTAAATCTTTCTATGTGTTCATCATTATCTGTATTCCATTATTGAATAATGTGTGCTTGATGTGTGTAAAAAAAAATTGCAATTTTTTCAGTTTGTTTTAATTCCTTTCTTGCATTCTTGTGTGAGCTTGATAACCTTGCTAGCTATGATATTATTATTGGACTGGTATAATTTACAAACTGTGGACATAGTGCTAAATAAATTGGCCAATACTTGTTGATGTAATACTTGACATTCTTTATGCACGCCATTCATGCTTTACATTTTAGGTTAGTGATTGGGGTTTTGAGCATAAAGTAGGAAAAGAATGATAACCCTCTATTAAATTAACCCGTAAACCACCTTAATATAGTTTGGTGAAAATTGAGCTATTATAGGGGAGCATTGAGATGAGCGGGGGCTCCGTGCATGAATTTTATTGTGTGGATTACCTAGACCAGTGGGATGAAGAGTAGGTGAAAATCTTAAATTGGAGGTTGGTTTTGGAAACTAAATGTCTAGAAAAACAACAAAGGGCATAAAATTAATATGCGAGAATAAGATACTTCTTTTCATGCCTTTATGACTCAAGCAAGTAAGCCTGTAAGGATATTTCAAAATCTGGTGCCCTAAGGTCAACTGGCCTGGGAGTCACCGGCCCAAAACTCGATACATGGGTCATAAAGAAAGCAAGCGGGAAAGAGGTTAATAAAAAGTCATCTGATCGAGCCTTTATAACTCGAGTGAATAAGCCTGTAAGGGTTTAAAAACCTGGTGC